CTCAGCTATGGAGAAAGCTGCAGAGAACTTTAAATTCTTTTCTTGGACTTTAACTTGTGAGTTTTGGACTTTGAATTTTAATACATAATGGCAAGAAAATTTGATTTTGGAGTGTAATTTCTTCAGACATAACTTGCAAGGAAATCAAATTTGGGGACTTTAATTTGTCTGGGAAATTTACCCTGGAAAAGGGTTTACATTCAAATCAGGGGCATCTCTAAGTGGCTGGCCTCCTTTACTGAATGATCTCAAAGCCAGCATTTAACCTCACAGCAGAACCTCTACTGCACTATCTGGATAACGACAGGGCAGAGCCTGGAGGAGAACAGAACAGGGCTGAGGCCTTGAAGCCAATGCACCATTCCGATCCATCTTCGAGCCCTCTGGGGACATAAGCTGAACCGCCCACTGAGGTTCCTGGGGAGATCAACCAAGGAAGGCGGCTGGACAGGGAGAAGTGACCCCTGGGAGGATAGAAACCACCCTGATGGTGACTGGAACCCTCCCCAAGGGCAACAGCCACAACCCTGGTTGGCTGCAAATGACAGTAAAACCATGTGATTCAGAAACGCTGCCAGCACGCATCCCTCCCCTGGCATCGTGGCTCCAGGCAGGGACCTCGGCCCTGTCTGGACCCAGCCCATCTACCTTCACAGCAGGAGCAGCTCATGTGACTGAGGTGAGGGAGAGAGACAGAGCCTAGGCTCCCCTTTCCAGGTCTGCACAGGAGAAGATGCTGGAGTCTGAGACCAATCTGCAGGTATGGGAGGGACAGGCAGGGACACCATCACTGGGCCCAAGGTTATGAGCCACTGCTGCTGCCCATCTCGGGAGAATCAGTCATGGAACTCGGGCGGATGCCAGCAGGCTCCCAGATTAACCGTGTTCCCACAACCACATCACATGTCCACAACCATGTCCTGACCACGGACAAGAAACGGCATTACCTGTGGTACCTGACTCCCTATGCCAATCATTTGGCTGATCCTTCCCACTGCGTTTTCTAGGCATTTACACTCATTTTCAAATTTCTCTCCTTCTACTTTTATTGAGTTTGCTCTGTTTTCTTCTCCCAAACTTCTTGGGTTGAATCAGTCTCTTAAAGGATACTTGCTTCTTCTACATCCCATTCAAAATTGTGACCTCCCTATAAGTACCTGAAACACTTAAGCTGGGCTGTCAACTTAACTAGCTTGGGAGCCACCTACAGGATTAGTAAAGCTTACTTCTCAGTGTAACTGGGTGCATCGTGGAGGTATGATTCTGGGGTTCATATCTGACCCATGGCTCCTTCCCCTCTGGTCCTCTTATCCTGTGCTTTTTCCTTCCCTGCTATCAAGAAGAGAGCAGTTTGGTTCTGCCATGCCCTTCCACCATGTGTTCTTGCCTTGAAGCCAGCCAGCCATGGACAGAAACTTCTGAAACCATGAGCCAAAGCAAACCTCTTCTCTTTGAAGCTACAGGTGTCAGGTATTTTGTACCAGCAATAAGAAAACTAATACACAAAATTAGTACTAGAAAAGTGGGTTCTGCTACCACACTTGACCATGTGATTCAGAAGCCTTTAGAACTGGTTCACAGGAGAAATTTGGAAAGGCTTGAAGATGCTGGCTAGAGAAGTCCTAGAATGCTGTAAGCTGAGCTTGAAGGGTGATTCTGGTAGGAAATCTAATTAGAATGCTGATAAGAATGTGGGCAGTAAAGGCCAGGTCAGGAGGTGTCAATTTGGAACAGTTTAAACTGTACTGGAAATCCGAATACAGGCCATGTATATTCTACTCTGGGGAAAAAATTCCCTGCATTTTTGTGCATGTCCTGGGAGTCTGTAGAAGACTGAATTTAAAGGGATATGGACTAAATGATCTGATCAAGGGAATTTCAAGGCAGCCCAACATTTAGGCAGTGGCATGGATATCACTAGCTGCTTTCATTCAGATTTATAGTAAGAATTAGAATGAAAAAGAGCAGAACTGCTTGAAAAACTTAAATTTTGGCCCCAAAAGAACCACATGTAAAATTGAGACCAAAGGAGGTGGAGCTGCTGAAGAGATTAGTGTCATTTAATAGACATCAAGTACTTGAAACTGGGACAAGAAGAAAGATGCCTTGAGGATATCACAGGAGTCAGCAAGAAGACCCCACTGAGCATAGATTCAAGGGTGCAACAGTGTAAACCTTTCATTTGGGAGACAGCCCCTGAGCCCTTCATTGGAGAAGGGCCTCTGGAATTGGTATCCTGGGTCTCAATGTACTCTGTTCAGCCATCCAAGTGCTCAAAGGCTATTCAAGGGGCATCATCCACATGGCGCTATTTCTTCAGGCATGCAAAATGCAAGAGCTAGGGGTCAGGGAGGCTTCCATCCAGATTTCAAAATAAGGCCTGGGAGGCCCAACAGTATACCCAAGAGGTGGGTATGTCAAGCTGTGGGAATGAAACCAAGGTACAGTAGAGATCCCAAGAAGTCAGAGACAGCAGGAATGTGGAATGGCTGCAAGCATGAGAGGAGCCCAGCCCAAGAGAGAGGCAGTACGAGCTGCAACTGGGCAACCCCATAGAACCAGGGCCACCCACACCCTCTGGAACCCACAATCACCCCCCCTGTGTGCCTGGATGCTGGATATGGAGCCACAGGACTTAATGTATGCCACTTTCCTTGGCACAGAAGTATATTTTAAATGAAAAGAAAAATAGCAGTTATATCCATCTGTGAGGGAGGGAGTGACAGATTTCTGATGTTGGGGCATTATGGTCAGAGAATGCTATAAAATTAGATTCAGTTCTCTGATATCACTTGTCTTGGTAGAGGGAGTACCTGATTGGTAGTTTAAAACATATAAATGATCGGTTTTTTCATGTTGCAAGGCACACTTGGAAATATTGGATATACAAGTTCTCGTGTTTTATAACATCTTCATTAATTTTTTTAATCTATTTTTACTGAGAAAAGCATGTCAAAATCACCCTGTGATTGTAGCTTTGTCAATTTCTACTTACAAGTCCATCCATTCCTCCACTCTGTCTTGAGGTCATGTTAGCTCACGGACTCAGAATTATGATCCCCATAAGTTATTCTCTCGGTTATTTATTAGCCTCCTTTACCTCCGGCACTATATTTGCCTTCTGTCTTTTTGCCCCTGGTGCCAGGGATTGAACCCAGGGCCTTGCACAAGCCAGACAAACACCCTACAACTAAGCTATGTCCTTGGCCTCTTTTTTTTTTCTTTTTTTGGAATTTTAAGAAATTTTTATTTGTATTGGTACATATTTGCAGTTTGTAATGAATACATTCCTTGTGGGAAGTTGTTACACACACATAATTCATCTCAATTCCTTTTACATCCCCTTCTCCCCTTCCTTCCTCCTCCCCCCATCTCTTAGTCCCTTTTCCATTTGCAAAGGCTCCGTTTCCTTGTTTCTTTTTGTTTTGAGCCAGAATCTCACTATACTGCCCAGATTTGCCTCAAACCTATGACCCTCTTGCCTCAGCTTTCTGAGTAGCTCCAATTACAGGCATTTGCCACTCTACCTGGTACTTTCTGCCTCTTTTATCTGATGTCAATGCCAAATCCTTCCTTTGGGGTCAGTATCTGAACACAAACTTTTCTCACTTTTCACTGTCTACCTCAAGAGGCAGGCACTGTTCAGATCCTAGCTGCGGTCCTGACAAGCCCTGTTACTGACCAAAGACAGAAAAACTTTCCATAAAAATAACTTCTCAGGTATGTTTTTATCTACTGTGATTTAAAGCCAGTGGTTTAAAATGAAGCCAGAAGGGGGAAAAACCTTTAGCCCCGCTCTTGGGGGACATCAGGGAGCCAGGTCATAATGCTATCCTGCCTTTGCTGCGCTCCTCAAGGTGGCCCAACAGCGGAGCCAGGGAAGTTCCGGCTGTGGAGGCTTCTGACCACCACTCGGAGGTGTCCTAAGTAGGACATCCGCTCTGCAGTGATCCGTATCCATGACAGCACCAGGGGCAGCACGGAGAGCAGTAAGCAGACGCCACGGTGCTGCAAAGACAGTGTCTATGCCACTGGCTACAAAGAATTCTTGCCAAAACCAAAAAGCATGCATCTGATCACACATGCAGATTTTACTCCCAGTTCACAGGAAAAGAGGTAACGAAGGATCACCCTTCGGGTCACTGTCAGAGACACAAACAAAATGGATGATGGTGGCTCAGCCAGTAACATGGTGTCTTAGTGACTTTTCTCATTGCTCAGACAAAATACCTGACACCCCAAGTTAAAGAAGGAAAAGTCTCTTTGGCTCACAGTTTGTAGTGGTTTCAGTCCATAGTTGGTTGGCTCCAGGCAAAGGAGAAATAGCTCACAGTGAGCACAAGGTATCAAAAGCAACAAGGGCCCTCAACAGCATCTCTCTGCCCCTTCTGTCTTATCCAGACCACTGAGGGCAGGCAGCACTCACACCCATAGCCCTAGTGCCCTTGAGCCCAGCAATGCACCCTGAATCAGTCCCAGTGTCACACGCCCTAGATGTAGCCACCTCTGAAAAAGCCCCACTATGACCAGAGACGTCTAGACACAGCCATAACATGTGGCTTCGTCAACAAAGAAATTAAAGAGAAAACAGAGACTGGGGCTGGTGTCAGTCACCGCAGAAACCTGGCACAGGGCCAGGCTAAGGGTTCCGCACCATCACAATGTGGGCTCCAGAGTTTTGAAATCATTTTCAAAAGCTGATAATTTACTGGGTAAGTGTTACCATTTGCTACGTACACACTTGGTGCTATTAGGGAATTATCGTCTGTTTCTTTATGGGCTAACACTGAGGTCAGGTTTTTCAAAAAGGCTCATAAGGGGCTCATAAGGAGATAGCTACAAACAAAAAGACAGCGTCTGGAATCTGCCTTGAAGTAAGCCTGGATGCAGCGGGGTGATAGGCGGGGTGCCTGGTACGCTGGCTGGGACCCCTTTCTCTCGAATCCTATACACGTGGCAACACAAAGCTTTCTCACACTCACCCTTGCACAAGAGCTTACCTGCATCAAAGGAGCCATCTTTACTGATGGGAGCGAGGAGGTGGGACAGGGAGCCACAGCCGGGCTGTGCAGCCCTGTCCAGCTGGACCAGCTGCAAGCGCGGCGTGGTCGCGGGTGGGAAGCGGTAGAACTGGAAGGTGAAATACACAGTCTTTGGCCACGGTGTTCCTCGGTAGTCCTGGGCCACTCTGAATCCAACAACAGCTCTGAATTAATCAAGCATCCACAGCAGGGCTTCAAGGGAGTGGCGCGTGCTTGTGGGGCTACAGGGAAGGGGTGCTCGTGGTGAGCCGGTGGGCAGACAGCAGGGAAACGCTGTCCACATTTTAATTAAGGACAGAACATTGAGCAGAACAGGCTTCTTGGCACTGGGAATGCTGCTGAGTGGGTCCCCGCCAAAATGAACTTAAGTCAAATGGCGGTTTCCAGGTCCCCCGCACACAAAAGCAATAAAGGCTTGAGGGGAGGGAAATGATGATGGCCAGTATGATCACCACACAGCGTACATGTGTGTTGCATTTCCATGACGTACCCCACAGATATCTACAACTATTATGTATCAATTTTTAAAATGTAAAAGAACTAATGGATTAAATTAACAGCCAGACTGCACTGCTTAATTCAGCAGCACCTGAACATAGTACCCCAGGACAGACCCACACCTGCGCTCCTCAGTGTGGTACCCCAGAGGGGCGCAGACCGGAAATGCTGACTGTACCTGCTGAAGGCCAGGAAGTGCAGCACCACCTCGTTGCTCTGCAGATGATCCGACTCTTCCTTCTGAGGGTTGAACTGAATGGGCTGTGCGGGGCTGACAGTTTCCACAGGCTGCTTACAGGCATCGAGAATCTCCGGGAAGCCGGAGGACTGCAGGACAGCCATGGTGGCCCTCGAGAGCTGGCCTCCGGAGCTGAGACGGGAAGACTCCTCAGCCAGCCTCCCACAAGAGGGAGACAGAGACGCGAGACGATCCAGGACCCCTCCGCAGACAGCCAGCCAGAGAGCCAGAGTCTGTGAGAGGAGACACCGGCCTGCGCCTGGACCCATCCTCCCCGCCACCCTCACCTCCTGCTCTGGGTTCCTGCCACAATGGGGGCGTGCAGTGGGGTGAATGGCAGCTCCTGCAAGTGTTCCGCGACAGAGGCTTCCAGGACGGCAGGGGTCCGGCTCAGGTTGGCTTCCAGGTGAGAGATCCTGCCCTCCAGCGAGAAGTCCTCCTGAACAAAACGAGGGCCTCGGGGTGAGGCCACCGAGGACCCCAGCTGAGACCTCCCAAGGATGCTCTGATCAGAGGGGAGTCGCTGCCAAGCTGTAGGTGGCAGCTTCGGCTGCTGAAGGTACAGGAGCTCCGGTACAGTGCAATTGCAATCATTTTGGCACCGGTGTGGCCCACGCTGTGCTTGGGACATGCTTATGCTGAACAATCATCTGTTTTTATCTGAAATTCCAAGTTCACGGACATCCTTTATTTCACGTGGTGACCCGATTTGTTAGTTCAAAAAAAAATACAATGAAGGAAAGAACCATCGATTTGATGAACAGATCAGCACCATGAGAGACAGCTGACACCCAAGGCGGTAAATTAATACAGAAAGATGTTGATGGGACAGAAAGGGCACGAGTCCTTCTCAACACACAGTTAAACTGTGGATGGGGCCCCCGGCCAGTGTGTCTAGATGCAGCTCTGGTCTCCAAATGCCCTGAGGCAAAGGCAGGTGTCAGGAATCCAGAGCTGGGCTACAAGTGTCACCCCACGTATGCCCCAGGGCAACCATCCAGGTGGAAGGCCCTTCATCAATGGGTCCACAGCAGGTGCATGTTCTCAAATGAGTAATTAAAAGAACCGTTTGTCCTCAGCCCCTCGCAGGGTGAGACTAGAGATGCTGCAGGCAGCAGCCTTCCAGCCTAAGCTGCTGGTGAATCCCCAGGGCAGGTGGAATGCGGGCTCCACTGAAGCCCGAAGAGCCCCCCCCCACCGCTCTCCCCTGCTAGCAGAGGTCAGGGTGCCGCAGGTTGGACTCAGCCCCTCACAGCCACAGCGATGCCTCCCTCATCCAGTGCAGACACCCACGGCGCACTAACTTTGCTGCATCAAGAAGAGAGAGGCTAAGCCAAGCCTTATGGCAAGAGTGAAAATGCCACACTCTTCCTTGGTGTCTGAGAAAAAACGGTGGCAAAGGTCCATAGCCTGAAGGTGCACAGCATGCCACCCCAGCCCACCCTGTCCCCAAAGCCCAGAGCGCAGAGGCCCCCGAAGTCTCTGTCATCTAACGGAGGCTGGGAGACCCCAGGCTCCCACACAGCAGTCGTGGGGTGGAGCCACTGTGTGGCAGGGGTGGGGGGACAGGAACACTTACTGTCCAGGCTGGGAACAGTCCAATGGCTGTGGACTCACCGTGGCTGAGTGACGCTGAGCCGGGGATGGTGGGGAAGCCGCCAGCTGGGACAGGGACAACTGGAAGGCAGAGAGCTCGGGTGAGGCACTACAGCTCTCTCTGGTCAGCTCACATTCACACACACAGGCCGGGGGTCAGCATGGGACCCAGCCACACAGGGCACCTGGTCATCAGCAGCGGTTCTGGACAGGTGTGCTTCTGCGATGGCGCCTGGACTACAACTGGACAGAGAAGCAAGTGGAGAAGGGAAGCATCGTGATGGCAGGGCGGGACGGTCCTGGGCCCTCTGGGATTCACCTCTATCACTGCAGATTCCATCCACCTGCGTCCCCCAGGCCCAGGGAGCCTCCCTACCAGGGCAGTGACCCCTCTGGTGTCCACCTAGCTCCGGAGACAGAGAGCTGGGGGAGGAGGCCCCATCGCACCACCGCATCACCCACAGCCTCAGATCATCGCTCTTCACTCATACTTGGACTGGGAAATGGATCCCGCTATAGAAAGGCTGGCATGGCGGGGTGGGCACCACCCTCCACTGGGCATTTGGAGACCAGAGCTGCATCTAGCTAGACACACTGGCGGGGGGCCCCATCTACAGTTTAACTGTGTGTTGAGAAGGACTCGTGCCCTTTCTGTCCCATCAACATCTTTCGGTATTAATTTATTCCCAGGACATGCTGCCCCTGGGATGCCCCCCATCAGCTGCCCCCGAGGAAGACTGAGCTCAGTGCAAAAGTTCTAAGTTCAATTCCTAGTAACTGGTGGAGAAAGAGAAAGAGGCGGTAATACCTCTTATGGCCATAAGAAATAAAAACTGTTAAAGCCGGAATAATGGCACATGCCTGTAATCCCCCCACCTCAGGAGGCTGAGGCAGGAGAGTCACAGTTTCAAGCCCAGCTTGGGTAACTTGGCAAGTGGGCAAGATTGTGTCTCAAAAAGGACTATGGAAGGGCGAGGGGTTTGGCTCAGCTCTAGCACTCAAGGCTGAGTGGCTGAGTGACACTGGCAAGCACAAGGTCCTGAGTTCAATTCCCAGTACCCAAAACAATTACAAAGGGGGGTGTGTCTATGGCTGCAGTTGAGTGTGGAAGCCCTGGGTTCAATCCCCAGTACTGCAAAAAAAGAAAAACAGAAAGACAATACCCCATAAATGTGTGCCTTTCCGGTTTGCAGCCTTTGAGCACTTTGGAAGACATAGAAACCACAGCAGAGAGACAGGCCAGCAGGGAGGCCAGGGGGCCCATGACCTGCACCTCTGAACAGACACAATGTTGGTCGAGAACCCAGCTTCCAAGCTGTGTGGGTCTGTGGCCACAGCCAAGGCTAATGGACTGTGACTTCTCAAAGTCGCCAGGCCAGCTCTGACCTCTCAAAACCAGGAAACAGAAGCCAGCAGGGCACAGGCGGGCACAAGGGCAGCTCAGCTCACCTAGCCAGGAAGAGCTCTGGCCCCACCAGGAAATTCCAGGCCAGTGGGGTGCCCTGCATCCAACAGCACCATCTACTGCCTATGTGTCTCTCACTCACTGCGGTTGGGCAGAGTGGCTGGGAGAGGGAAGGGGACCACACCGGGTGTCCTCTCCAGAGAGAGGTCCTGAGGGGCTCAGCCACCATGGTCACCAGGGAGTAGAGGCGTTTCCTGCCAGGGCTGGCACAGGCCAAGGGGGCAAAGTGGGCATGGGTAAGCAGCAACATGAGGCCTGGCAGCAGTGAGGCAGTGTATCCCCGGCCGGGGCCCCAGCAGCCTGTTGCACTCCCTCCCTCCCCTGCCCCAGCCCCAAGCTGGGGGACCCCACAGCGGGGACAACCACTCTGTAGGAGACAAGAGTCCTCGCACCCAGGGCTCCCGGGTGCTGCTGCTGGAATTGAGAAATGGGCCCCACAGGGCCCAGACTTACCCCTGGTCCCCTGGGCGAGTCCTGGGTGGCAGTGAGACCCTGGGGTGCAGGTGCTGATGGGCCTGGGAAGAAAGCACAAGGCGCATCAGCCTTGGGAAGCCCAAGAAACCTGAGCTCCAGGACACCAGGCCCAACGCCCTTCCCCACCCAGCCTGCAACCTGCTCAGCACAAAACCCTCACTGGAGGGAGGCACAGGAGGTGAGATGTGGGAGGGAGCCCGCCCCAGGCTCGGTGCTCAAAGGCCTGAGGAGGGCTGCCTGGGTCTGTCTGAAAATCCATCCATCTACGGTCACTTCGTACCTGCCACCATCACCCCTTCCTGTCCACAGTGGGGGCTGCCCAGCCAGACAGGCCGGGTATGGCCCACAAATGATGTGAGCCCCAGGCACCTGCCAGAGGCTCCTGACCAGCCTGGCACCCTAGGAGCACAGCCTCTGCCCCAGGCCTCAGGTCCCACCCTGTCACTGTGGACGGACCCCACCCCTGGGCTTTCACCATCACCTGGACCTCTCAGGAAACCGGACTCTCTGCTCAGGCATGCCCGGCCTCCTCTCACCCCCACACAGCAGTCACTGTCCCTTCCCACAGCCTCTCCTGCCATCAGTGTCAGGTAAGTGGGTCTCTCGCTGCCCCTGGAATCCCCAACGGCCCACAGCCTACAGCCCACGGCCAAAGCACAGATGGGACTAACTCTCTGTCCTCGAATCTGCAGCTCTCCATAGCATGCACAGTGCGGCCTCTTCAGACCACAGCAAAACAAAAACAACCACAACAAAGGCCACTTTCAGAGGCGGAGCCAGCCCCACACAGCACCCTGCCCATCGGGGACACTTGCCCAGACCTCTCCAGCTGCTCCCAGAGTCTGCCTGAGGCACAGCGGGCCAGACTAGGCAGGGCTCCCCCACCTCGGGTGACCCACCCACTCGGGCCTGCAGCTCAGGGTCCAGCACCTCCAGGGAAGGGCCAGGCCACAGCGCTTCCCAGGAACTCTGAACACCCCATAGGAAGACCCAGCTTCCAGACACAAGATGCCCTCCTTGGGGGGACCAGCAGACTCACCCGGGAGCACCACTGCCCGGGACAGGGCCACCTCTGAGCCACTCCCAGCTCCTGGGCTCCTTCACCTTCCGCAGACATCAGGGCCCTGCACGCAGCCCAGTGCCCGCCCTCCTGAACAGCGAAGGACACGAAACAGGAAAGCTACCACTGGAGTTTGGCTTTGCTCTGCCCCAAATGAGGACTCGGAGAACTCGGCAGGCTGATGCTGGTAAGGAGGAAAATTGTAGGAAATGGCTCTATTATCCTCCACCAAGAGAAAGCTGCACTTAGGAACCAGGCCTGCTGCATCTTCCCAGCCAGGAGACACTGGGGACACCTCAGCATCAGGGCACATTAGAAGGCTCATGCGTCCCCCACAGGCTCAAAGCTGGGGACCCCGAGGAACTGAGGCATATTGCAAGCACTGACGCACACTTTCAGGGTTCTCAAAGCTGAGTACTGTGCCATGCTTCTCCACATAATTCTTTCCGTGGTGACTTGGTGTGCACTTTTACTTTCCAAGAGAGCCAAATAGCCTAAAAGAGGCCCTGGCAGATGGTTTATGACACATGCTGTGAGCCAGGCCCAGCAGACCCACAGCCACATCCCCGGGAAGTAAGGGCCGAGGAAATCCATCAAGACCACACCATCACCAGGCTTCAAATCTTTTTGTCTTAATGTGGATGTGGTGGCCAGTGGCGTTGGATGAGCTGCTGCTTCCTGCCCAGGGGCACCCACGACACTTCCGGTGGGACAGGTGTATCTAGAAAGGAAGCCTGGTTTCTGCCACCATGGCACATCCTGGCTGATGTGCAGGACACGAAAGATGCCCAGGCAGCCCCCAGGAGAGCAGAACTGAGAAGAACGAGGAGCTGAGTGGGACCCAGCCCAGGCGGGTCTCCAGGGAAAGTGCAAGTTATCAAGCACTGGGCATCGTGGGATCCCACAGCCACCACAGAAAGGGAGCAGTCACACACTCAGCACTGCCTCAGCCTCAGCTGTGGGACACAAAATGCACCTGCTTTCAGGACTGCAGTCACTGTCACATTCACCGTGACATCCCCCAGACTGGCTGTACTGTGACACTAGCCAGGGAGGCTCGGCAGTGAGGCCCAGAGCCAGCCCCGTCCCCATGACCCCTTCTCCCCCAGTGAGCCCTGAAGGTGGCTCCTCCCTGGGTGCCTGGCCGGGCACAGGCTCTGTGTTCAGCTGTGCTCTTGGCATTTGCATGTGGAGACCCCAAGCTGCACTTTCCACAGCTGTGCCAAGCAGCCCAGGCCACACGAAGAGATTCAGTCCACGGCTCCCAAGATCCCACTGCTGATGGCCAGAGACAGGGAGTGGGGATGCGCCTCGCGGGGTGAGGGTTCTGCAGAAGGCACCTGAGCCAAGTGAGGCCAAGGGAGCCCCGACTGTGTGCACTGGAGTGAACAGCACTGGGAGCGCAGACAGACACACAGGAGGTTCTCGTCATGCCAGCACCTCTCCTGGTGGCTGTCCCCAAACCGCGTGTGCACTGGGCTTTGCTTCTCGGTCACAGTTACCCCACTTGGTGGCAGACAGGGGTGGGCACTGGGGCAATGAGACCTCTCACCTCCAGTATCACCTCCCCATTCTGCTTAGCAACTCCAGGGGCCCTGGGGAGCGGGGCTCGGTGTCTGTCACCTGCAGCAGGTGTCACTGAGCAGCCACTTGTCCCCACCAGAGGTGCACTTCTCAGTATGCAAGTTACATGCCATTTAAAAAAAGGAAAAACAGAAATAAGGGGGAAGAAAGGACAGCATTTTTACCACCTTTGCTTTTCTATGTCACTGATCCATTTATCTGAAAAACATCTCATCACCCACCGCACTGAGATATACTGTGAAGACACACCGACAGCTAACAGGACTAGGTGGTGCTCTCCGCTCCCTCAAACACCAGGACTCAGGGCAGAGAGGGGAACCATGGACAGGGTCCCCAGCATCTTCCCACTGAAGGTCCTGAGGACACAGCAGGATGAGGGCGCGTTCAGGGGCCATAGTGCCCTGTCCATGCTTGGCTGGAGGGTCAGTTTCCAGAGGGGAGGACCACAGTCCCAAGCAGAGGTGGCAGAAGGAGGCCAATGCCTAGGCAACCTGCAGCAGCTAAGCAGAGTCAGGGAAAGGGACTACCAGGCAGGGCAGCGAGGCAGAGGGAGGGGAGGAGGAGCCACTGCCAGGACAGGTGTAGTCAATGGGACCTCAGGAAAGGTGGTGGCCAAAGACAGTTTCCTGTCTACAGACCGTGAAAGGATGAATCAGTAGCTAATGGCACTCCAGACACTAACCATTCATAAGGCAAACCCATTTGAAAGGCCTTTATTCCTATTTGTGGGTAAAACCTCATTCTTCCTAAGACTTTGATCACAGGAATGGGGAAATAGGCAAAATCTAATAAGGAATAAAAGGAGACCTCATAATGGAGTGGGCGTGGTCTCCAGGCTGAATCCAAGAACAGAGGCCCCAGGGTGGCTGCCCAGAGCCTGCGCTGGGTCCCCGCAGGGCCAGGGTCAGAAGCCCCTGACCCACATCAAAGCTGTGCCCTGAACCACACTCGCAAGCATTCTCCAGCAAAATGCACCTTCTCATCTGCATGCTCACTCACACTCCTCTGTGAGAGGCTGAACAGAAAGCAACTCTGTGGGCTCTAACTCCTTCACTGCTGCACAGTGGACTGATTCTCCAGGGGCTACCAGGCAGCGGCCTGTCGAGGGCATGCTCCAAAGAATTAAGGACAGTGTGGCGTGGATGCAACCCCACACGTCCTGGGAAACACCAAGGTCACATGTTTGCAATGACCCCTGCTGCAGGACGTTTTCAAGTCTAGTAAGCAAACAATCCCAGATTCTGGCACCTCGAAAAGCAAAATGTGGGTCAAGGAAATTCTGAGTCACAAAAAATAAAGACAGAGTGCCCTCTAGTGGCTCTGTGATGCTCTCTCGCATGGGTGATGAATAAACCCCTGCTCCCTGACAATTTTATAGGAAAAATAAAAGGATTATTCATAACACAAAGCCAAAGTACCTCACCTAAAGTGACAGCCACATATCATTAAGATTTCCACAGGAGCCGTATAAGTCGTTAAAATATTGAAGTATGAAAAGTTTCCATCATAAGTTAAACACTAGTGGGTATTTAAAAGTCTCTTATACTGGGCCTTGAGAGGCAATGTCTTCAAACGTCTGGAGCCTGGGCTGGAGGCAATCATATTAGCATGACATGAATGCAGCCATAAATCCAAATTAAATAAGCCAAATGGAATCAGGTCACACGGCGGTGCCCTCCCATGCTACCTTCGCTCAACAGTTCAATTACTACCCCGATAGGCTCCTCCCTGCCAGGGAGATGACAAGACAGCTTCTGGTGCAGACCTCACAGCCCAGAGCTCTGTGTCTCCAGTCAGACTGCTGTGGGGTGCGCCCTGTGGGCAATGGCACCCTCGGGCAGCGATGGGCTCTGGGGGACCCGCTCCTGGCCGCTCCATTGCCAGCCCCACACATCTGGCTGCTGAAGTCACCCTTCCACCCCATCCAGACAGCAGCTGCTGCTCGAAGGTCTCTGTCCTCAGATGGGGCAGGAAGCAGAGCAGCATCAGAACCGAAAGGCAGTAGCAAAAGATTAGCAGAGTTCAGAGTCACCATCCCACCAGCCCTGCCCGAGAAGCAACAGCCAGGATCCACAAGGCCCACACCCATCCCTGTCCCCATCTGCTGTCCCAGGGGAAAGGCAGGGACACGGCAGAACAAGGAGCTCGTATGCAAGACTCACTCGGCTGGGCCACCTGAGCAAACCAGCTGTCAGGATTCCCAAGGCCCAGGGACTCCCGGGAGCCCTGGGGTCAGCACAGCGGGAACTGCCAGAAGTCAGCTCTGAAGAAAGGAGAGCTGGAAGGGTGGGGGCCAGGTCCCCAGGAGAGGCAGACAGACAGATGGAGTCCGTCTGACACCTGGTGAGGGGCTGGAGCCACCACACCTGACCCTGATGTCAGCTCTGCTTCCGGGCC